TTGCTGTTATGCTGCCCATTAAACCAGATCAATATTTATTAAGACCTTAAAATATGAATTTTCTGAACCGATTTGTATTCTTATGTGCTTCATTATTATTTTTTTTCTAAGCTTTAAATTATTGTCCACATTAAAATAAACATTTAAAAAATCTTAATTTCACAGTATAAAAAAATATTAATGATAAAATAAAAAATAAATAAAAGGAAAAAATAGATGTTCAAAAAACCCATTCCTGTATGCCACATAATGCCATAAATCACATTGGCCTGTCATCAATTGGTGAGATTTATAAAGTTATGTGAAGTCTTGAAACTGTTCCTTGTTGAGCCTGTTGCTGGGACCTACTTCTCCTACATCTCAACAACAAAAGTTTAAAATGATTTCCTCCAAAAATATCACTTCTTCCATTTGCATGTCTAACTGTAAGTTGCCCTTCAGTCTCTCTCTCTGAATCTGCATTATTTCTATGCCCGAGTCTTCTTTCAGCTATATTGACTCCAGTATTTGAATGACGGTGTGAGTTTGTTGCAAGTCCACACATGCTTCTTGGTACTCTCTTGGTTCTCCTCCTGTTCCTCCTCGCACTGCCCCTAGAAGTTCTGTGACATTTTGCACACTGCCTATTATCTCTCAATAGAGGAACTTGTGAAGTTCTAGAAATTTGTTGAGTACTTCGATTGACATTGTCCCATGAAAATAGATGCCTTGTTCTTTTCTGAAGCATGTGGCCCATGTTTATTTCTTTATGTTGTTGTTGGTCTTCATTTTCTCTCCTGATAGGAATGTCAATTCTCACAGTTAAATTCTGGTTTGCTGGAGGAGACATTCTTTGAATAGAGGAGACGTCTGCATCACCAGAAAAATAACTGTGAGAATAACTTCCATTTCTTGTAGAAACTCCATTTGAAAAAGAATTTCTGTTTTGCATATGATGATTACTCCTCCCCCTGAACAGTCTATTTAATGGAGCATGTGCTATGTTCCTGTATGAAGGCCTTCTTCTAAAATGTTTTACCTCATTCCTGTGTGGACCCTGCGTGTGATGTCCGTCCTCTGACGAGGATGTGTTACTACCAACATTATCCCATACAAATAAATTTCTACCCAACTCTAAGTGATCAACGATAAGTGACGGCCGTCCTACTAAGGAGAAGAACTGCCCTGACCCTGACCAAACAGGATTGGCCACCCTCCCTCCAACACTAGAAGGTGGAACCACCAGCCTCCCTGAAGGTGTTCAAAGTCAATTAAACAAAAAAATATATATTATTTTCTTCTCCAGTAGATCTGAGTTCAGTAATATATTATTTGAATTGTACATTTTTATCTCTATCACTATCAAACTAAAGTGAAAATTTTGGTATTCTCTTAATCACTGTGATCTCCTCTAATAAGCTTAATACATTACTCCAACAGTCCTCTCCTTATTAATTAACACATGAGACAATGCTGTGGCTCAGATGATTATTTTGATACTGTAATTCCCAGCACAGCTCAAAGCTATGTCACTGTATCCCAGATTTTCACACAAACAAACTGTTAGTAAGATTTAATAATTCAAGTTCCCAACTCGTCTCTACTTTTTATTAAATGCTGTTATATCATCTGCTCTGGAAAATTAAGGCAATTTATATAAAAAAAAATTACTCACAAGGCCATAACTAATTTTTCAGCCATCAATGCCCAATGACACAAAGCTCTCAACTGTTTGAGGAATATGGAATGTCTTCCAGAAACTCTCAACTGATGTTAACAAACTTGATCCTATTATAAATGAAGATAAAAATTCACAAGCTAATCTGCCACTCTAGTTAGAATACATAATTAAAGTATCCACAACATTAACAAACAATCACAGAGAATTTGAGATTTCAAGGTACCTATATATTTTGAGTACAGTACTTGTGCCACCCCCAACAGTTAGAGAGAAGAGATTGTGTTAAAATAAAATAAAAAGTTGCAGCACAGCAAAGAGCAGCAGCAGCATTAAATTGTGTGGGTACTACTGTTAGTTTTCACATGGTTTGAAGAGTGAGGGATGGGTAATGTAAGCTGTTTATATTTTTTTCCACAAGTAAACACTTTCACCATGCCTAAAAAGGAAGACTATGACACTGGTGTTATGCCACAAACTACAGTACACTTAAACTAGACAAGGTAAAAACCATACAAACAAACAACCTTCTCCTATTCATATTTTACTCAAATTTTAACTGTACATACTGGATGTCTTCACCACTCCCTAGTGTGTAACTCTCTTTAATGTAACTGACAACTTTTTACCAGTAGGACATCCTTAAACAACATTTATCTCTTCTGCAGGATGTAATGCATGATCTATTTCAGTACAGTATAAGGAAGTGTCAGTGTGTTGTAGCTGTTCCTGCATTTACCCAAGCCTTTTCCAAAAAAAAAGAAATAATCGATCACATGAAGATTAGGCACCCTAACTTATTACACCCAATGATTAAACGCCTAAATGATACCTGAGGGGTAAGGTAAAGGTAAGTTAAGGTGAAATAAACTGGGGTGCCCAATCTTCAAGAGATCTGAAAGAAAGAACTAAAGAAAAAGTGCGAATTTTCCAGATAACTGTTAACCCAATTTGTTAACTCTTTAGAATTTTTAAAGGAAACTATATCAACCCATCCAAAATATAAGAGCACACTATGCAGCAGTAAGGAATATGTGACCCACATTATAAGTAAAGTTATTTTGGTAATCCGAATATCAAGCTTAAGAGTAAAAAATGAACCTACAAAATATTTTATTCATCTTTTTACAGAAAACTAAGTAGTATGCAAAACAATAAAACAACATCCAGGTGACTTAAGAAAATGACAATAAAAGTGAAGTCAGGGGTCAAATACAATGACAGAATATGTATACCGGGTAATCTTTGACCATTTTAGGTATCCATAATACGGCCACAAAGCCACACACACTACTGACCCATAACACAAAGCCACACACACTCCTGACCCAAAACACAAAGCCACACACATACACATTACTACTGACCCATAATACAAAGCCACCCATAACACAAAGCCACACACACACTACTGACCTGTAACACAAAGACACACACACTACTGACCCATAACACAAAGCCACACACACTACTGACCTGTAACACAAAGCCACACACACTACTGACCTGTAACACAAAGCCACACACACTACGTTAATAATACATAGAGTACAGTATTTAAAAATCTGAATAACACTATACATAATCTGTATTTTGCACCAGTAATGTACACACATATGAGTATCGTATGCACGTGTGCATGTGTGTGTGTGATTTCTCCTTGCCTGAACCTGTTACTTTTTCACAGTTGTCTTCACAACTCTCCCCCTTTTTTGAGGTTTCTGCACGGTATCCCTTCATCCACACCACACAATAGTGGAAAAGAAGCAGATAATAACCAAAACCCTTGTAACTCATCTTGCTTATATAACGCCAATTAGAAATTTGGTGGTGATGGAAAACACATCTTACCATTACCTCCTAATGCATCACAACAGTTAAATCCACTTCCTTCACAGAAGCCACAGATCTACAATTGATTTGAACTTATTTTGGTGTAACTATTCACAGCCATCAGGATAAAAGATCACATCTGTCCAAACTGTCGAGTCCTACTTAGGAACTGTCCATTAGATCGGACAAGATAAATCCCATTTCAACAATTACCAGTTTCCCATTGAACTGAAAAGTTTGTCCCTATATCTTGTCTCCAAAGATTTTCATCCACAAAACCCCTATCCACTGAAAAATCTTCCCTAACTTCATTGTAAGAGCTGAAAAGTTTGCCTTCCCAAACAATTGCTTGCATTGTCTGCATGATACATTCCCTGAAGACAAGAGAATGCATAATTCCTTAGGAATTGAAAATCTTCTCAATCTGAAAATTTTCAGACTGATGGCATAAGAAAAACATCCACTCTTACTTAATACAGGTACCTGTACTGTACCAGTAATTATATGGCCAAGCCCAACATTAGTACCACTGAAGCTACAATTAGCTTTTTTTTCTACAATAAATGAGGTATGAGAGATACTGTACATCGTTCCTCAGGAAGGTTGGTGGCTGAGGTAAAGGGGGTTGTTACTGTAAATTGGGTTTATGACATATCAAATGAGAATCACCCTGCACAGTGGAAAGCATGAGATGTATGGTATCTTGAGTCGTCCCACTCCCATGTGTCCGGACACAATGTGATCTCTAATCTCTCATTCTGAGCAATGGCTGTTATAAGGGAGTGAGTGACCTTTGCCCAGGTGTGATAGGAGAAACCATGAAAGGGCCTGGACTTGCATCCAATTATAAGTAATAAATATATGTCTAAAATCAATGAAAACTTATCAAACTGGTCAACAGGTGATCATAGTGATAAGCCAAGACTGTCATGTTGCAATTTAATAACACTCGTCTCACATGACAAAACCTATTTTAAAGGGTTAGACAGTTTCTAACCCCAGAGCTTTAATCTGGCAGACTTGAGTACAGTGGTAGGAAGTTATTAGACAGAGATGACTGTCCATTGATTCCAGCTTCAAATACAAGCGAGAGATACAGTAATATGTGATTGCTATCCACTGCGAGCTAGTACTAGTTGTATACCCAAATAATCATTGGTTCATCATAAAAACCCAATTGGCTCACAAATACAGGGGTGTATCAATATTATTGGGGAAGATATATCCAAGAACACTCAAACAACAGTTGCTCTGACTTGATTCATAATAACATGCTCTGACTTGATTTATAACAACAAATACTCTGGCTTGATTCATAACTTCCATGGTGCAAGCCTAACTTGAGTATAAATCACATTGTCAGCGTACATTATCAAGTGCATCTCACCGAGCGAAAAAAATTAGGTTATCCACAGAGGTCATATTCATAAAAACAAACTAGATCATGCAAAATATTTAAATCTACAGACTATCACTCCAAATCAAACTTAGAGCTACTGTAAAAACATACCTTGGGCTTTGCGGTAAAATGCATTGTTACCATCTACAGGGATTGGATGAGCTTCCGTGTTCAACACCCACTCATCAAGACTCAGGAGGGAGTCATCGGAAAATATCAAGTACAGATACTGTAAAAGACACAACAAAACACAACATTAGCACATAAAATGGCAAAAATTCATGGAATACATGAAAGAGTTAACAAAAGTTGTGTGAACACAACATAGCTCATTGGCAGTGCACAATAATGGTAAAGTTCAAATATACTGTAATATGAATTGGTTAAGCAGCCAATGATACATATTAAAAACAAATCTACAATGTAAAAAATTGCTTATAAGAGCACCATTACAGTTCTGATAACTGTGACAACTGTAGAAGTATGATAACCTGTACTGTACAAATTTGTGCAGGTAAGCTAAGAACTGTACAGCTGTATTTGTATTTCTTGATATGGGGATAAAGGCTTTATGTGGTAAAGCAAGTAGCTTGTTACAGTGTCCCAGAACTGTTTTTCTTCAATTACCAAACCTGTGTGTAATGTCACATTATGAGTCAGATCGAGTTGTGTGGTGGACAAGGCTCATCTCCAAACACCACTAAAAATAAAATTTTATCTTACAAGCAAGGAAAAAGTGAGAGCATATACAGACCTTGAAAGTTTCAGCAAAGATGAAGCTCTGTTGAACGTCATCCTTTTGAGGGTTTTCCATGTACACATTTTGAATACCACTATAGCCAGCCTCGGCTCGACAGTATTTCTCCAAAGCCTGGAAGGAGAAACATTTACCAAATTATGCAAACTAGTGAAATTATTTAGGTTACAGGATTTACATCTCATACAAGAGTTCCCATATTCCTTGCAAATTTTAAAAGGTAATTAAACAAGCATGGAGATGTTGAAAGCCTCCTATCCAACTCTAAATTCTTCCGCCACATCTGTGACCAACCATCTTAATACTTTTATATCTCACCAACAGCCATTCAGCTAACTCTTAAAATTGTATACAGTAAACCCTCGATAACTGGGCATTTAATAGCGTGGAATTTCATATAACTCGACATGGATATGGTCTCGGAATGTATTATTATAACGCGGGAAATGCCGAGATATGTAAATTTATCTGGGAAAATCTTGACATATTTGGCCACCTGCATCAACTACCATGCCTCTGTGTCACCTACTATGATGCTTCATTCTTTGCCTGCAGTGCTGGCAAGTTACTTTTTTTACATTTAGTAATTACATGTACACATATATGGGTCGTTAAATTTTTTTATAGGAGCGCAGGTGGGGGGCGATAAGTCGGAATTTGGGATAATTCAGCATGGCCAGAGCCCCATAGTATGTGCCGAGTTATCGAAGGTGTACTGTATATGAAAACATGAAGCAAGGAAATATAATTTTAGATTTTTCAATTAAAAATTAGGTTTCTATGATTCTTATTCTATATACATCTTGTTTACACTTTTTACAGCAGGATGACCAATGCAACGTCGTTGTGGAAACCATTGTTGGTTTATATAACACACCAACTTCCTTCTTACCCAATCTTTCATTTCACCTTATTAAACAATATTCTCAAGTACCAACACTGACTTTTTCACATCAATTCTCTATACAGTATATTTCTACACTGCCTCAACAATTCATGTTATACTACTAACCATTCTCACTAATGGCCTGAACTCTTTAAATTTTTACATCACTTTTTTAATTCACTGATGTGAACTTCCAACTTCCATGAAACTGATCTTAACTGCCTTTGATCTAATATCCATGCTATTATTGCCACCTTAAGGTCCACTTTTTCACAATAGAGATTTTTACCAACACAACAACAATCTGTCAGCCTTTCAAAATCTGAAACATGAAGGTATCTATTCAATCATACACAGCAAATCTTATTTACAGGTTTGACCAGTCATCCTTCACTAGGTAGTTCAGATAAGCAAGCTAAAGCTGTGGTCTAGACCCGGGGGACCTAGGAAAGATGAGGTGTACACTAGCTCATGAGACTTTACATGCTTGTTCACCCTCAAGCCCCCCTGTTGCCCCTGAGGGAAAAATTTGCTTATGCTCTTCCTATTTGTGCAACATTTACAATAGAAAATGAAATACTGTATTAGTGAAAAAGCATATTTAATTCACAAGTGATTGGTAGGAGAGAGAGTGAGAGGGTAAAACCTAGAAGATGGAGTGAGGAAGGCACACACACACACACGCACACATACAGACATACATAAATAATCATGCAAATACAGAAATAAGTGACCTACCAAGATAGCCTCCCATGCCCAATCTCGGTATTTTTGGTCTTTGGTAAATCGCCACATGTAGAACCAAGTTTCAATAACCTCTGGTCTTAGAATGTAATATTTCTCTGATGATTTTAACGCTCGTGCTTCAATTCCTTCAGTGAAACGGAAACTTTCTGGTCCAAGGCCAGTCGGGGTGCGAATGTAAGACTCATGGCATGTGTTTGCCAAACCTTCTGCAATCTCCATATGAGTTGCAGACACTTGACTTTCAATTCTCTTTGCCCCCAGGGCATACATACCACCTGTAAATACATTTAAACATATAAGAAAAATCCATTACTAGAGTATTTAATACCACAAAAAAAAAAATCTACTACATGTTAATAACTTCTTTTAGTAAACTTAAGACCATGTGTAAGACAAACTGAGATGATACTGTTACTAGCACAATAGCAGGATATCAGAGGTTGTCAATAAAACACATCTGCTCACTGAAAAAGTCTAATAATAAAATTTCCAAAGGACTGACTGTTTTATTTCTAACCACAGTGTGATAATTTTTAAGAATAACAGATTAAAGTGATGAGAGTAAAATATACTGTACTGTAATACTACCTAAAAATTATAAAATCTTGGAGCTTTTAGGCTTGGCCCAATGTATCCCTACCAGAGCAATGGCCTTGACACACTGCAAGACGCAATATACTCCAAGATCCCAGTATCATCTGATGATTTTATTGAATAATCTGCCGCAAAATATTTACCTAACTAACCATCCTGGGATATGTACCCACAGGTGATGATAGGTATGGAAAGAGAAGCAGCTGAATAAGTTGATTAAACACATTGTCAGTAACAAAGAGTAGGATGAATGTAAAGGAAGAATATCAGTTGGGTAAACAGAAATTATTTTGATTCCCACATTCAAAAATACCAATTCTATTATGATTATATTTATAACACAAGCCTAATATTCAAAGAAATTCCATCCTATCTTAACAAAACAAAAAGAAAAATAAGTATAGTACAGTATACACCAACTTGTAGAGGTTGTGCAGTGATACTGAAGGTTAAATAAGAAAGGACAATTTCTTTCAACACTTAAAAAATTATCACCTAAAAATCATCAACGAACAGATACGGAACATACAATGACCAAGAAGCTTACCAGAAAAACATGCCAAGTGGTCCATCTTGTGCTCCAAACGGTTAAACTTGCTCTCAGCAATATATGTAAGTCCAGAATGTGACTTCAGAACTAAACGGTTGGTAATAACACCGATAGCTTCTACATACATGTCTCGAGCAATTTCATCTTTCGCCCCAGACTGTATGTAAGCCTTTATCAGGTATTCATAAAAGCTGTCTCCAAGTGCTCCAATGGATGTGTGACCTTGGGAAAGTATAATATACAAATCTAAAGTTAATAAGAGCAACAATAAAGGAAAACCTAGAGAGAAAAATAGTTTACTTGAGAACTACAGTACTAAATAATGCCAGACAATTAAATCTATTCTAACTTTTAGTAAACACATAAGAAAGGAAGCTGGTAGTTTGGAGTAAGAATAAAAATAATAACAGTAATACTAGTATAATAACCTGATCCAATAAACACCTACCCACTAATTTATGAAGTTGCTCATGGTAAAATATTCTGCAAGAATGCCTAGTCTTGCATCACTTTATATCTTCCTTCATGCTTTCATCATTATCACTCCCTTACTTCTTTTAACTCATTAACCCCTTCACAATGGGATGCCACTTTTAAAATTTTATTTGCAAATGCCAGAAAATTGTCAGCAGAGACCCAGCATATCCAAGGGGTTAATAAATACTACCTTAGTCGTATTTCCTATGGCATTCCTTTTTTTATACTCATTCCACCTTAAAACTCGATCCTCCACATTTTAAACCACTGTACAGGAATACCTTGATACAGTATTTGCAACCCTGCTTACCTGCAATTGATATTTTAACACCCCTATTTGATGTTTGCAAAGCATACCCTATTATTCACAAATGAAAAATTACAATACCCTACAGTAATATTTCAAACTGGGCAGACTAGCCGCAGCTCTCATACAGTATTTTGAATTAAGGCCCATTTCACATACGCTCGACGTAATGAACATATGTGTGTGGACTTGACAGGTCACCAACCACCGTCGCTACATTATTTTATCTCCACTACCTTTGAGTTGCTCTGTTGTTACTTTTCAACTCAAAATTTCAAGTAGATGTACGTATTTTTATACAATTTCTTTTACCCTGTTACATGACACACAATTGTCCATACAGAATGTGCAAAAAAAGCAAAGAAATGTGATTATCATAAGGTTAAAAACAGATATAATACTGTACTTTCTTATGTCTGCGGTAGTTAGTGCGCAATTGTGGGAGGGGAAGGGGGTGCAGGGGAGATGGAAGGGGGTGGCGGTCACGGGAATGGGGTGTGGGGGAACGGAAGGAGAGTGCGGCGTCAGGGTGGTATGGGTGTGGGTGGTGTGAGGTAGTGGTGGTTGTTGATCTTGGGAATGTGGTTGTGGTGGCTATTGTGAGGTAGTGGTGGTGGCTAGTGGTCACAGGAGGGTGGTGGTGATAGGAAGTGTGAGGTAGTAGTGGCTGGTGGTCACGGGAGGGTGGTGGAAGTGTGAGGTAGTAGTGGCTGGTGGTCACGGGAGGGTGGTGGTGCTAGATGGTGTGAGGTAGTGGTGGTTGGAGGTCATGGGAGTATGATGGTAGTGGGTGGTGTGAAGTAACAGTAGTGGGTGGTGTGAGGTAGTGGTGGCTGGTGGTCACAAAAGGGTGGTGGGGGAGGTAGTAGTGGCAGGTGGTCATGGGAGTGTAGTGGTGGTTGGTGGTGTGGCAGTACCAGAGGAGACTAAGGGAGGCATAATTCAGCAGCAGGTAACGCAAGTTCTCAGAAACGTTGAAAAACTCAGGTTGCTTTAAGGAGTGCCGAGTCCAACCTGCAACACAAGTGACAAACTCAATGCCCAGTTAGACAGTTTGGTGGAACCCTAAAGGCAATGTTATCAGGAGTTTAAATGCTGCTGCTAAGCTCTAATCACCATCTATTTTACACCCCAACAATTCAAGGAGAATCCAATGATGATGACTCTGCTGTATACAATAATGTAGCTATAGCAAGGAACAACTGTGTTGTTAATTATTGCAGGTGCACCAGAAACTTTTTTATCACCCTGTATAGTCTGCCAGCAGCCATAAAATGAAAGTAAGAATACTGTATACTGTATAATTCTCTTCACCAAAGCAACTTTATTTGGATATAAAAAAGCAATTGTGTAAGACTGTACCGAGGCCCTTATACGTAATGGTGGTTGTGGTATCGTGCATTTCTTCTAAAACAGGTACAGTGAACCAACCAAACTTAACATACCTAACCTTGAACCAGGGTTGGGTCAAAAATATTTTATTTTTATTTAAATAGTCATTTTCTGTAATTTTTTGTGTTTGTGAATCTCAAAGAATGTGTATTTGAGTTTTGTTTGTATTTACTCATTGTACAATATTTGCTCAAATCCATATCAGATATCATCTGAGTGGTAGGGTCGGGTCAGTCTGACCTGACAACAGGAAGCGAGGTCAGCTGGTCACTAATCCAGGTGTTGCCCTGAGCCTGGGTGGCAAGGTGGGGTCAGTTTGACATGAGAACAGGAAGAGCTGTCACTAACTAATTCTGGTGATGATTAATGTGGACTGTAACACCATAACGCAACCCCCCCCCCCCAAGCACAGGACGGTTTGTAAAGTCTAACCAGTTACAAGTTGTTTTTGTTAATTGGTAACAACCTCAGAGTGAAAAAATAATTAATTGATAGAAGTCACAGCTAGCAAATATGTGAGCTTGTATTTGCCAAGTAAAAAATATGCAAGTGTGTATTATCTTTTATCCTTATCACTCCCTTATATAAAAACTTTCAATGCAATTATTCCTCTCTTACTAAAATCTATCTCCTCCCTATATGTAAGATTGTTCATTAAGAATTAGTCTGCATAATTAGTTTTTCATAAGTGGAAATATTCGATACATACGTTGTCCCCATTTTCCAGTTTTAGGATTCATGTAGTTGGGATAGAGACCATCCGGCCGTTCTGTCTTCCTTATAACATCACGAATCCTCATCACTTTTTCCCTAAAAACTGGATCACCAGAAATGTCTGACAGGTAAACAAACTCGAGATGTAGTGTTCCAAATTCTGATAAGATACTTGAACCACCACTTGCCCAGGCATAGTTTTTAGCAATCTGAAAACAAAAAAGATTTCAATAGTAAAAATTCAAAGCATCTTTTATTCATACACACAAGATCAGAGCCAATGCAAGCACCATGACTACTTCTACACTCCCCCTAAAAGTCAGAACCTGGTGTGCATCAGTTCTGTACTGGCACTGTCCTCTGACCATCAACTGGTGATACTTTGCCACATCCACCTGGGAGAAAGCACAAAAACTTTATTTCCTGCAATGCCACAGGAACCTCAACTAAAAAAAGGGGGGAACTGAGCTGTTGAATATATTCTGGCAGCACAAGAAAACTGACAACCTTCTGATTAATAATGACAACTACACATATAGAGTCAGACTAAGAAACACTAAGAAAAAAAATTATTGGTCAAAATTAATAATTTAATTATTTAAAAAATATTTAAGTGCCTTCCTTCTGAATCTCAAAACTACTGTAGATTTACCAAATTGAAATTTAATAAGGTTATCTAATGGAACTGATGAAGTTTACATGAGAAAAAAACACTTCAAGCTTGGAAATCCACAAAGTAGTCTGGTGTTCATCAGTAAAGCAGGGTTTGTATCTGAACAATTACAAGCTTCATTGAAGTACGTAGTTTGGGCTAAAATTTAGATAAAGTTTGTCTTGGTAAGACTTGAAGTAGGGGTGATGCCTAAAATCTCAATGTTGTGTGATGATGGTGTTGTCAAAATTTATGTTGAACTGTATAATATCATGCTTGTTACAAAATATTATACAGTATACAGTATTTAGCTTTAGTAGAAGTGAAGGTAACCAGACAGGATGCAACCCACTCACCTAAGTATGTCAAGTCTTCCTGTAGATATGAGAATGTCTATTGTCTGGCATTAAAAATTTTATCTCAAGAGACTTGGGTACTCAGAATGAAGAATCTATGAAGGATTGAGTCATGTGCATAAGAGTGAATACAGCTGTTTGCCACTGAAAGATCATTAGTGTAAAAAAAAAAAAAAAAAAAAGAGCTGGTGCAAGTATGGGACCCTGAAGAACTCCAGAATTGAATTAAGTGATACCTAGAGAAAAGACCATCCAGAACTATGCACACTCTGAAACTGGAGAGAAAAGAAGAAATTAAAGGGACTAAGGAGGAAAGGCCACGGAAAGGTAATTTTCTAAGCAAGGATCAGTGTCACACTTTGTCATATGCTCTGGAGATGTGAAAAGCTACTGCATGAGTTTCAACATTTCAGCCTATTGAATGGTAGAATCAAGTGCGAGAAATGATAGGTCAGTAGTAACACTCTACTGGAAACACAAATAATTGCTTCACTACATATTGATTGAACATTCAGAAATTAGTTATGCAAACAAAAAACAAAAAAAATAGTAAAATATATATCTTACCCCATTAGCAACATTAATGAGAGCATATGGTATTCCAGTTGGGGTATCAAAGGCTGGTAAGAGTTTGCGAGCAATGTGCAGTGCGCGGTCTCTGAACAGCGGATCACCAGTCAGGGAATACACTGAGAGAAGACCTCCAACAAATCTAATGTTGGTCTCAAACACTGACATTTCTGATCTCTGAAATTTTAAGCATATTAAATAATTAGCACCAAACTAATTAATACAAAAATACATCTATAAGGAATGAAAACAAAAGATCATACTTTAGATAGCCATATCCTGTATAAATTTAGGAATCATTACACACATGGGATTTGTGCTAAATATTAACTCTAGTGTGATGTTCACTTCAGTGAATATGGATGAAAATAAAGGATCAATTGTAAAATCCACTTTATAAAGAAGCCAGGATTGAGCAACTTTAAATTGCCAGTAAGTCTTGGAAGTTTGAATCCCCAGGCCACAAAATACAACGGAAATAAATAAAAAAAATTACATTAACTTTCACCTCCATTCTGGATTCCAATTTAAGACATTGGTCACAAAGGTATCCCAGTAAAGAAGAGAGCCTGAGAGAACAGCTGCTCCCCGACTTACGAAGGGGTTAGGGACCGACATCCAGGTCGTGTCGGAAATGCTTAAATAAACATAGAGAATCGAAATTGGGGGTCTCTTTTTCTTCTCAGCACCACAAAACACTCACTTTTAAGCTTGCCAGCCATTTTAAAGTGAATAACAGATGAAAATTTTGTACTGACTTTGGGACTCGAAAATACGTAATTTGACCAAATTTTGGTACGACTGAGGCAGGTTGTAAGTCGAGTAGGTCGTAAGTCGGGGAGGAGCTGTACATGCTACCAAGAATAAACATGTACCCTCTGATTAGCAGGGTTACAAAATGATGTCACAAGGACCAACTCATCAGATCCAGCAAACTTGTGTTGCAAAGGCAGGAATGTAGACTTGTTTGATTCTGGCTCAATCATAAAATGAGATTTCAGGCTCAATTTATCACTTATAATAACTACCATACGACAGCCAACTAGGAAGCATTGTCCTATAGCTCTTGGACTGATTGGGGGGTCCTAATGTAACCTATAGCCTGGAAACAGGTTCTAGCACCAAGTTAATTATAACCTAAATAATATTTTGGCAAAATGTCATAAGTTTACTCTGAGATTTCTAATTTAGACTTAGCTTACATTGACTTCAAATTTACTGCTCATTTATGGTGAACAATAACTACCCGGGACATGCTCATGGTAGGCTAACCTTACCAGGTTTTTAGGTGTTATGGTTATTTCTTTAACTCATAATTTCAGAAAAATAATTAGATATATGAACTTTTCTTTTTACTCGGTTACATGCACACACAATCTTACAGACAGAATGTGCATAAACAAACTTATCATAAAGTAAAAAACACAAGAAGAAATAAACTAAGTGGGGGAGGGTGGAGTGATGGATCTCGGCTGTCTAGTGTGTAGTCAAACGATTGAAAAATTTTGTTGCCCAGCAGCCATATGGGAATACAGTATTTTTTTTGTATGTGTATTTTATTTACAATTATTTGTATTTATTCCTCACATTTATTGGTATATATTATATCTTATTCTGCATAGGAGTTGGCAACCTGCAGGAATTTAGTTTCAAGAGTTGGTAACACTGTTCATAGTATCAGCTGTTGTTGTGGCGGTCAAGGCCACTCGGTGTGAATCTAGTGTGTTGTTACAAATTACGTCTAGGATTTTACCTATAACTTAGCGGTTTTAAAAAGTTGATCATAGGAATATATTATGAAATAGATTAAAATGAATGAATTATAGGAATATAATAGGATTATATTTAGATACTGTACAAAACTAGGTTTGGGTGCATAGCCCAGAAGAGGAGTGGTGGGTGGTAGAGGAAGCAGGCAGAGGAGGGGGGAAAGCAACTCACCTCCCATGCTCATCCCTTTATAACAATATGCAATTTTACCATAATTCCTATATTTAGGTTCATTTAGTGCAGGGTTAATAAAATATTATCGAAAAATCACACACTCGATACCAGATGAGCTATTGTGCCATAGTATATTCTCAGTCACTTTCCCTAATTATGTTGCCCGCACTCGCCATCTCTCAAGCACTGTTGTTGTCACTGCTCAAGAGAATTGGTGATTACCAAAGGATCTGTCTTGAACACTTAGCAAATAATATTGTAGCTTATTTATCAGAACTTAATAAATATTATTGTTGTGTACAGGTATATTGTGTCTCCATAGGCCCTGGTTTATTCACTGATCAGTTGTCCAAGTGCAAAAGTAGCCAAATCAGGACATCTTGTCTCAATTAATTTTAAAATAGAAATAATAATGTTATAAGACAATGGTTTAGTAGTGCTGTTTTTTGTTTGCAGTGTAAGTGCCTTGTCAAGTCTCCTCGCTTCATCACATCACCCCTTGGATAGTCAGCTCACCTTGCAGTGCTACATTTATTTATTACTGTATTATTTACTTTACTGTACTGTATTATTTACTTTATTATTACAGTACCATATTATTTACTTCATTATTTCTGAACAGTATGTACATTTAGAAAATTTAGACAATATTTTTGTTTGTACAGTAATTATTATAAATACAGGGTAGATTATTTTATGTGGCAGCCAAGGCAAGGTGCAAAAACTAAACAGAACACAAATAATAATCCAACATAAAAATTCATAAATTGTCAGTAATTCAAGTGAACCAGAGCCCCTCTTTTTGTCGCATTAACGATGATACAGTGTACAGTGATTTTTCAAGTTGAAGATAATCCAGACAGTCCCCTATATAACATAGGGTGGTGTTTTACTTCCTTTATTTACTCGTTTGCAGGCACTGTAGTTTAATCAAATGTGGTTCACTTGGTTCTTTGCTTACTTGTACTCCTCCCTCTGTTACTGGGGATCCATTTTTTTTTATTATATTAGTTAGGGAGAACAGAGAGAGAGATATCTGGCTAATTAAATTTATTCAACAAAGATGTATTATGACATTATGTGTGTTCGCCCTATTTCTAACTAAAGATACTGTGAGGGAGGGAATTCACTATACACCTGTACGACGTCAGAGAAACCATTCAATCAACCTTACTGCGCCCAGTACAGACGTCGCCAACTGTACTGTACATCTAACATTATCTATTAGCTGTAGGGAGAATTTTCTGGGTGTCCAATAAGAATTTGTTTTTCAGAGAATCTTTTGGGACTTTTTCCACCGATTGGCTAGTTCACAATATGGGCGTAGGCACATCAGTTCTATGGGCGGAGCTATCTTCATGGCACTTGGCATAGGCAGGAATTTGGTTACTCTTGAGGGGATAACGAATGAATAGTGATGAATTGAGATAATTTTCACTTTACAGGCACTATAAACAACCAGGACTTGTATTTTATTTGTCAATCAAGTAACCCATTCGCCAATTACGTAACTGTATGTTTTCAGCCTTCCAGCTGCCATGCCCTTTCAATAAACCATTAATTACAGAATGCCATGACAATTCGTAGACCTTGATTATTCACGGATGACACCCTGGATGCAATCAAGAATACTTGCGGGTAGTTTTAAAGTTGCTGTCATTTTCGTGGCCGGGACAGGGAGCCCATCGTTCTAAAGACAGTAATTTTTTTTTTACCTGTATTGTTTGTGTGTGTTTGTGTAGACACCCGCCCGCATGCATGCACACACATGAACACACACACACAAAACACATACCTGTACAAATAAATAATAGCAATGGGAAAATCCTCTCGCAAACAATCGGAAACAAGACAACAAAATGTATCTTAATGTAGAAAAATGCGAGTCTACGCCTCAAGTCAACTCCGTGCTTTGTTATTAAAGTTAACTTTAATAACAAAGCATGGAGTTGACTTGAGGGTAGACTCACATTTTTAATACATTTTTGTTTTGTTTTTGATTATTTGAGAGGATTTTCTCATTATTATTTATTTGCATGTGTCTCTACACACACACATATACAATACAGGTAAAAGAAATAATTGTCCTACGGGTAAACACAAAGGGAATATACATTTCTTTGCACACGAGTAAAAATGTAACCCCCCCCCCCCCTATGGTTAGCAAATGATATTCACGGATTTGGCTATTCACGGCCATTTTGAGGCCCAAACCCCCGAGAATTTTAAGAGCATGATGTATTATTACAGTGAACCCTCGAAGATTCGGACCCTTTAAATCTGGATTTCGGAAGATTCGGACAAAAAATTGGAGGGTTCTAGGCTAAAGAAGCCTCCCGAAGAAGCATTCCCAAAACAGGGTGAATGTAGTTTTAGGCTTAAAAGTTTTTATCTGATAAAATGGCACAGACTAAACTTAGCAGAATATAATTTGCATTGCTGAAATCCTTGCAAGATAGTGAATTGTTTGAGTATAGACTTCACATCGTTTGCACAAGAGATAAAAAAAATTAGTCCTTTAGTGTAGTACATTTGAGTACTGTACAAGGTGAAACAGTATTATGTTGCTAAAAAATATGGCTTTTTCACACTGAAACGTCTGTATTACTAACCCCAGTGGTCAGGATAATATGTACAGTACTGTATTTTTGGTGATTTTTATATAATTATTTATCGTTTTTTTTATATACATTTAGTACATTCGCCGAAAGATTCGGACAATCGGCTTTTTCAGACAGGTGGTCCCCCCTTTTAGTCCAGATCTTCGAGGGTTCACTGTATTAAAGGTCAATTTTCAAGTTCCTCATGTAACGGTTAGCTCTCGTGGGCATAGGCATCCCGTTTATTACACCCACTTCCAGAAATATATGTGTAAATCACCTCTACATTATGACTCGTCTCTTTGGGAGCAGAAGTAATGCAGTTTATGTAACTAAACAATACAATAACCCTCCATACACCCTATACCTATTTTTCATTTAATTATATTTTAATACAGTAAATGATTTGTCATATTGATTTTCTGGCAGCCCAGCATGCTTCAGAGTTAGTGCGAGATGTAAACTATTGGGTTGGAGGTTACAGGAATGGTAGTCCCTTCAAGGCCGTGACCACCCATGGTTCGGCAAAACTGCTGGTCCACCCCAATAGTGCCAAAAAATTGGTAGTCGAACTGTAATATAAACTTTGGCCTCTGGTGCTGCAGCTAGTCTACCTGCTAAAATGCTGAACCAAGACTTGTAAGAGCTAGATCAATGTAAATAAACCTTACAAAATGACAGATTAAGACAAAAATATCAGACTTATTTTATTAACACCAAGAACTGATGTAACCCCTATCTACCTTACCTCGTTAAAGCTAGAGCTCAGATAGAGACAACTTCTCTGAGATAAGTAGCTAAGGACTGAATCTAAAATGCCATATTGACTGTAATCAAGATACTAGTTCAGGTAATAGTTGGCATCTAGTGTCTAGCTACTGGCTAGGTAGACACATACAACTTTATAAATAGGTAATCATAATATCACCCCTAACTGCCAGTCAGGGGTAGTCACCTGTTGAGGAACCTTCAAATCAGCTTGCACATTAACATGAACCAATTGGCAGATATACGGTGCAAGGTCGTCAAGCAAAAAAAAAAAAAAAAGCTTTTTTTCAAAATAACATTTCTTACATGAAAATTAGAATAAAACGGACAACTGGCAAGGAAATGTAACTTACCAACTGGTTGAAATCTAAGTGGTACTGAACCCAGGCACGACCTTCATTGAACTCGTCCATTAATCCCATGATATAGAGGGTATCTAATGCATCCACTATTGTGGCTCCCATGTCTTGTCTTCCAAAGATTCCTGCTGTGTGACCTCGCTTGCTCACCGGTCTAAGTTCATTCTTACCCCATGCATAAGTCTTGTAACCCCGCCAGGCATGAAGCACCATCTGAAAATAATAACGGGTTTAGTAAAGACATCTTAAATGTTATATTTGTATGGACACAGTAGACTGTACATGTTCCTTCCTTGCTCCCTCAACATGATTTGCAGAGCTACTAAGCATTGTCATAATATGACAGCCTTATCATACACATTTACCACAGTGTCTTAGATACTTTTCAATGTTTGCTTTATTGAACAAAATGAAAACCCAAAGTGGGATAAGAGTAAACATGCAAAACAGTAAGTGCATATGATTCACACATTGCACTTTCTTTCAGGCAGTGGTCAGGTGCCATTAGCTGACACTTTGAATGAAATTTGGTGCATTATAGTTAAATCAAGATGTAAAAATTAACATGAATTTATTTCTTTACACTTAAATGGTAGGGGGGGGGGGGTGTTATGTAGACAATTTGATGACAGGAAAAGAGGAGTTTAAAAATATTTAAAAAAATTTATTATTCCCATGAAAGGAACAAATTTTGCTCATTGAATAGTGGTGCAAGCAGATTTTCTGTGTGCCAAATCAGAACCACAAACCATGGGAGGGCAGATATTGTGTCGGTGACTAAGTGGAAGGTAAGGGGTGATCAGGGCATTGCCACCCACACACTGCAACTTTGGAACTGTTTTTATTATTGATTCCTTATTAAATTCTTGCTATGATCAGCCTCTTTTGGGGTTTCATTCATCACAAATAATATAACTTCTTCAATAGAAATAAGTGCTGTACCGTATATACAGTACCGTAATACCGATATATAATCTAAGACCTGACTCATCTAATTTCCCTACTGCAATATTGTAGGTTAATGGAAAATTTCAACAAGACAAAAACTATCCATTATGATGAGAAATAATATAAAAAAAGGTACTGTATCAAGATGAAAATATTTGAGGTAGTACAGTAGTAGATATAATTTGTTTATATTACTTATGTTTTATAAAAATGGAAACTAAGACTGGTTAGAGCTGTGCTAAAGAGGATTGTGATATCGAGTCCCTGTTCATGTATACAGTACAGTATAGGGATCTATTTCGCAAAGGGATAATATGCATGTGTCACTTGATATTCATGCACATTACTTCACTAGCGAATGTTGGAAAAATTAAATGTAAAAAAAGCCGATCCTCCAGCAACTGCGGTGGCGTCAGTTGAGGCCCCAGTAGTTTGATGATGATCAGGCAGGCCCTGGAATACACAACCTTCCCAACCAGTGGGACCCATCCGAGAAGGCCCCGCTTCAATATTAATATCAACTGACATAGGAGAATAAAATAGAATGAATCGAGCAGATCAAGAGTGAGTAAGGTTATATTTGTTGTGTTGTCAATAGTAAGAGAGACAATTGAGACTCTGCAATTGTGTATAAATGTGGCAGAAAGACAGATCAGCAACCTGGGACTTGGTCACAATTTTCGTGATACGTTATGGTAGCAGGGTCTACCATTCGACAACACATTATGCTTCCAATATCTTCCCAGGCGGTAGTACCTCCCCGTTTGGTAGCTGCCTACTACCTACTACCTAGCAAATATTAATTGGAAAATCCTCTCACAAATAATCAGAAACAAATTTATTAAAAATCTGACATTCTACCCTCAAGGCCATGCTTTATTACCTTATTAATAAAGCACGGACTTGAGGGAAGACTTACATTTTAATAATTTTTTTCTGATTATTTGTGAGAGTATTTTCCCATTATTATTTATTTGTATGTGTTTTGTGAGTGTGTGTGTGTGTGTGTGTGTGTGTGTGTGTGTGTGTGTGTGTGTGTTTAACACACACACACAAATACAATACAGGCAGTCCCAGACTTATGACGGGGTTAGGGACCCAAATCCAGGTCGTAAGTCGAATATGCGAAAATAATACATAGAAAATCTAAAATGGGTGTCTCTTTTTCTTCTCAGCACCACAAAACTCTCACTTTTACGCTTGCCAGCCATTTTAAAGGGAATTACAAGCGAAAATTTTTTCAGTACACAGCGCAATCACTAACATCGGGACTCAAAAATACGTAATTTGAAAGAATTTTGGTACGACTGCGGCGGTCGTATGTCCGGGTGGTCGTAAGTCGAGTAATGTCGTAAGTCGAAGAGTACCTGTACAGGTAAAAGAAATAATTGTCCTAAGGGCAAATACATAAAGGGAATACAGTGATCCCTCGGTTAACGAACGCGTCGGTTAACGAAATTTCGGTTAACGAATTACTTTCTGTAGGAATCTTCAATTCGGTTAACAAACAAAAATTTGGTTAACGAAATTCTTACGAAATCACGTCAACATGTTTTCGCTTGCTCACCAGCTGGAATACTAGTCCGCCAATACAGTACAGTAATCGGTTCTAGGGCTTAAATTCGTTTCCATTTGAGTATATATCAAGACGGTTGTACTATTCAGTAATTTTCAGTTTTATATAAATTTTTTTAGTCATTTTAACACTTATTTAACATAATTGCAGTACAGGAAACTAGTTTTTGGTGTGCCAATCAGCCACTTGACTCACCCACCAAGGAGTCAGTTTGTATCTCTGGTCAGTGGAGGTAACATCTTGCTTGTGGCTCTCTTGAACATAAACTATTTTTACGTTTTTACAGTACAATTATTGGTCATTCTGAAATTTATTTAACTTATTGACAATATATAGTGCAGTGCAGTGTTGATTTTAAGAAAATAATCTTGAATTACACCTAGTGAACTTAAAATTTTATGGGGGAAAAGACGGCATGAAGCATGGGGTGATTTCTCTTCCACCCCCACTTCCTTCTCTTCTCCCTTCTCCTCCACCCCCACTTCTAATTCCCATCATCATCATCATCAACCAGGATCCTTCTACATACACACCTCAAAGTAAGTGTACTTTACTGCATTTTTTTTACTTTGTATGAAATTTTCGGTGAGCTGGAACCAATTACCCAAAATTCCATTGAAACAATGGTTTCAGTTAACAAAATTTTCGGTTAACGAACGACCTTCTGGAACGAATTGTGTTCGTTAACCGAGGGACCACTGTGCTGTATACATTTCTTTGTACAATAGTAAAAATGTACCCCCCCCCCCCTATCGGTCAGCAAATGCTATTCGAGAATTTGACGATTCGCTGTCATTTTGAGAACTTAACCCCCGCGAATTTGGGGGGCACCCTGTATGTGTGTGTTGTTGCTACATCACTATTGTTACGGTCATCTCCCCTTTCCCTCAATATTTGTTTCAGTTGCCCATTGCATTTAGTTTCTGTTGTTGCCTGTTTTTCTTTAGAATCAGAATTCCAAGCTTATGGTAAAGACTTTAAAAAGTGTCTTGATTATTTTATATAAGTATGTATACAGTGGTCCCTCGGTTAACGAACAGTTCGATTAACGAAATTTCAGTTAACAAATTACCTCCCATAAGGATCTTCAATTCGGTTAACGAACAAAACTTTGATTAATGAAATCCTTACGAACATCACGTTTTGTTGCGAGTATCAGCTGATGGGCTAGTCTGCCAATTCAGTAATCTGTTCTATGTTTACATTCGTTTCCAGTGGAGTAAATATCAAGAAAGTTGTGCCCTTTAATATTTTTGCATATTTTATATTAAAATTATTAGTCATTTTAAAATTTTGATAACATATTGATAATATATGCAGTACAGGGAACTAGTTTTTTGTGCGCCCATCAGTCACTTGACTCACCCACCAGGCGTCAGTTGGGCTTTGTTTACAGAGGAGTGAACATCGATTTTGTTGGGGGTCTTGAATATTTTTGCATTTTCACATTAAAATTATTGGTCATTCTGAAATTTAGTTAACATATTGATAATATATAGCACAATGCAGTGTTGATTTAAATAAAATAATCTTGAATTACACCTAGTGAACTTAAAATTTTATTGGTGAAATTACTGCATCACGCATGGGTCCCCTGAAAGGTGATTTCTCCTCCATCCCCACTTCCTTCTTTCTCCCTTCTCCTCCACCCCCACTTCTAATTCCCATCATCATCATTAACCAGGAAACTTCTACATACACACCTCAAAGTAAGTGTACTTCACTGCATTTTTTTTTCAGTTTGTATGTACTTTTCTGTGAGCCGGAACCAATTACCCAATGCAGTATCCCACTGAAACAATGGATTCGGTTTACGAATGACTCTGTGGAACAAATTGTGTTCATTAACCGAGGGACCACTGTGCTAGAATTTTTTTCATTATGTAAACTTTGTAGAATGTAATTTTATTTTTTATACAGTTATGAAAGACTAAGAAGCAGGTGTGAAGTATAAAAAGAATTAGAAATTATATGTCAATGAAACAAGAAAGTATTGGAACATTGTTTTGGTTTTGGCAGCACTCTCGGTAGTTAGGTTGAGGAGGATAGGAGGGTCAAGCTTGTGTGGTACACATTTATCTATTATTATCTGGACAATCATGGATAATTATGGTGTTAACTAAAATGTAATATGTTCATATAGTCTAAAGAGTATTGTAGTAGTGAGAGAGCACTGCATTTGGTTGAGATAACATTATTCCGAGTGAATTGATTTGTGGCCTTTTGTATGCTCATGGATGGAGAGTACATATTTGTTATATTTTGTTGTTAAATATATTTTGTTGTAATTTTAAAGCTGTGTTTTGATTAAACCAGTTTTAATGGGAACAGTGGTATTGAAATAAGCACCTGTCAGCAGTCAGGAGGTTGTTAAATAAGCTAAGGGTCTGTGTTTAACATTTAACCTCTCTGTTAACAGAAGATGTTATTTTAGTCTCCTCTGATATATTGGGCCTATGGGCTGACTATATATCCTCTAGTGAGTCCTAGAAGAGGGTGTGAAGGTTGTAACACTATTGTACAGTACAGGGGTATATTGTATTGCATAGCTACAACACAGTACAATACTGTATTTACAAATTTGGGTGAAAACATAGATGAACAAGCAAATGCATGGATACATACTGTACAGTGAAACTGTGTTGCTTTTTCACAAAAAAAGGGTGCTAGAAATAGGCACCCCCCCCCC